TGTAACCTGCCCATTCTCCTGAAGGATCTAGGAATGAGCTGCAATGCCCAGAAAACCACATCAAAAGAAGAATAACTGAAAATGCACAGTAACCAGAATATTAACCCAAACACAGAGGGGCTTCAGATAAAAAGGCATGATCAGGCTGGGCTAAGTCTTGGCATCAATGCATAAATAAAGTCAAATTCAAAGAGTATTGGTGCTATCCTAACTTTCTGAGAAAGGAGATTTCAAAGCTGGGGTCTTCACAGCAGAGAAGAACCTCTTCGGTGACACATGGAGGAGCACCCACTTAATATTGGAGTCAGTCCCTCAAGCATCAGGGTCCCAAATTGCTGAAGGCCTTAAAACTTCATCACAAAAACTGGACAGTCCATTAAATAGCTTTAAGCTGATCTCTGCATATGGGACTGTAAGACTTTTTTCTCCTTCGTTTCAAAAACAGTTCCTTTTTCTACATCTTTGCCTTAGGCTGGATCAGATCTTACATTTCTCCCTATAAAGCAGTAGAATGGAAGGTTTGCTTCTCCGGGAGGTGGCTTGGTGTATCTCTGCATGAGTTATCACTTGCTCAGAACACTGACTCATGCAGAGACTCGGCCCAGAGTTTTAAGATTAGGAGAGAAATGGAAACTGATTGTGCGCATCCTTCTAGGATGGGAACAGAGTATTACAGCTTGATTGCTCTACCTTCTGTTATTGGAAAAGCAAGCAGTGGCTTGCCTGTGATTGGGAGACCGAGGAAAATTGCCAAAAGAGCACAGGTGGAGGTCTTGCAGGCCAAATGTGCTGGCCTAACTTAGAAATAACTAATTATTCCAGAAGTAACTCATTCACAATACTGAAGATGCTCCTCTCCAATCTGATCCTATACAGGAGAAACTGTGATGACAAAATAAGGCAAAATGCACAGCATGATATCGTGACTCAAACTCAGTTTTCATATTATCTCCTGAAATTAAATGCAAGTTCCTAAGATCCATAGTTTGTACTGTGATATCCTGACACACCCTTTGTCATTTCATACACACTCCATGGACATCTATTGTAGTGACATGTGGGAAAGGCCTTGGGAGACGAGGCAAAGAGACGCTGCCAGAGAATGGTCAAATAAGAGGGAGCATAGCCTTCAGCTGCATAGTGGGCAGGGCAAGAGGCTCAGAAGAGACCCTCCCTAGTTTCTTGGGCAGTAAAAGAGGCGGAGGGAGGATTGTACTTTCAGACTTGCAGGATTCTGTTAATATAGCCTTACAATAAAGTAGAATTAGCTCATCTGGTCATGTTTCCTGTCTGGTCTATCTAGTGAGGCTGACCCCTATGGTGTAGGCTATTACTCCCATCGCCCCAGCCCTTAATTACAGTTTAGGATGTCAGCATTACAAGCATAAAATTATTTGGTTTTTTCATCCAAAGTTATATATAACATTGAAAAAAGAACCACTGCAACTTACATCAAAGTGTTAGTTATATGATGATGGTTTTGATCTTAAGCTAATTACATAAGTGTATATTACTACATATACACTAAAGTAAGAATACAATGGAGATTTCATTATTAAGTAATCTCCATTGTATTATTACTTTAGTGTGTACATAGTATATATATAATATGTTAATAAAAGGGGGAAAAGATAGACAATGGGGGTATTTTATATGCCTATCACCTATTTGTCTGTCTGTCTGTCTGTCTGTCTGTCTGTCTGTCTGTCT